TGTCTAAGTACGTGACGCTCGGACGGTATTTATTTATGTAACAATTGTACGTTATCGCAATTGCCCGGAACTCTTTAGAAAATGCTTCTGCATGTTGAGAACTATACGAAAAGTATAATTTTTAAGCCAGAACTCCGAAATAGTGGCCAGCGTCTCATACCTATGTGTCTAAGTACGCTCGGACGTATTTATTTATTTTAAAACGGTCTCGCTTTCCCGCGCGGAGAGCGATCAGTCGGTTACCAGGAGGGAGAAGCGAGGACGTTGGAGACAGAAATTTGGTTATGAAGTTGTTAGGCGATAATTATAAGAAATAACAATTTATTCAAATAAAGGAATATCAGTGGGGATGCGATGGATTGCACCGATCTTCGCGAATGGTCGTGGCCATGAACGGGCGAGACGGCGATCGGCGCGCGTATATTGTTTTGATACAAATGAGGTATCGCTCTGGCGGTCGGCGCGATACTGGTCGCTGTGCGAAGTTCGGAGGCGCGGGGCGCGCGCGGCGGCGGCGGTGTCGCACGTGTTCGTTGCAAGCCTTTAAATCAGCGGTGATTTAAAACGTGCACGCGTTGTCGCGAGAGTAAGATATTCGCGAGGTCGTTGGATCGTTTAGATCGGAGAACGGGTGGGCCCGTTCCCTGCCGAGAGGGCTCGGCTGACGGGGGGTGTACCCCTCATCTGTCTTAGTGAGTGCCGAGTGAACTCAGCCAGCCGGGGAGGGCCCCAGCTGTGTGCGGAGAAAGAGGCGTCGGTGCCGAGTGTACTCGGCCGACCAGGGCGTACCCCGGTGCTCGGAGAGGAACGGTGGTATCAGGGAGACCCCGATACCCGACGAAGAAATCTCGGGAACAATGGAGTCGGATGGAGCGAACTCGATGTGTTGGGGAGATCCCAGCAGCTCTCGGTTTGTCGTGAGAGATTTGGAGCTACGACTTTCGGCCAGGCCAAGCGAATTTGGCGGGTTGGGGAGGGCCCCAACAAAACTCAGGCTTTCTACCGGCTTCGGATGCTCGCTTCCTTGAGACGTGCTCTCGGAAAACGAGCTAGGAACAGGAGTCAACGAGGAGTGATTTGTGGAGAGCGATGCCTTTTTATATCCGAAATCGACCTCGGTATTTTCGGTCGGATCGGTCAGATTGGTCGATCTCGGGGTTAGCATCCCTCTCCTCAGGAGCGGAAAAAAAGGATCAGATATAATTGGTTTTTTGGGGATTATAAGGAATAAGAGCGGGGGATGTTTAAGAATAGGGAAGGAATTCGGTGGGAAGGTAACGGCGCGGTGCGGGGGTAGTTTAACTTGGGTCACGCCTTTGTAGACGCGATTGTGGCGCGGTGCGGCGCATTTATGCTCGGTGGTACGGTGCGTGGTGCGGTGCGAGGAAACAGACATATTTTCGTGGTATTCTCCGACGCTTCGGAGTTCCCGTATTGTAATAATTAAAAAAGGAGGCATAAATGCTTCTTGCGGCCACTGCCGCACTCCGCCCATTGTTCGGCGGTCCCCGACGGATGGTCGGTCGGAGGAAAATCGGAGGAGGAACGGAGCGGAGGGATGCGCTCCGTTACAATTTAACAATCGTACATTATTATAATTGCCCGGAACTCTTTAGAAAATGCTTCTTCATATTGAGAACTATACGAAAAGTATAATTTTAAGCCAGAACTCCGAGTTGTTTGTTTGTAGTTTAGCTCGATCT